GCTAGGCCTAGCTCTGCCCAAGCTTCCTGTTCCTGCCCCAGTGCAAGCTGGGAGGAAGTTAGGCCGAGCTAGGCCTCAAAGCCTGAGCACGAAAAAAAAAAAGAAAGAAGGAAAGAAGTTTATATGAAATAGAAACAATTCCACTGAAACACGACTACTATTTTTGCTTTTAGGTTGTTAAAACAGCAGTCTTCCAGCCAGACTAGGGAAAAGGAACTGAAATTTTTGACTCTGGCTGCCAGAGTTTAGAGGGTGCAAAAATCCCCTTCACCCCTGCACGCAGGGTGCCTTCAGCCTCTCCTCCCCAGGCAGAAGGAAACACATTGTTCTCTCGTGTACTAAAATATTTAAAATTGCAGGTGTGTTCTTCCTCTTCCTTGTTCACCAGCATCTGGAGCTTACAGATAGACTGCCCCTGTGCAGGAGGTTCCATTTGATTAGGAGTGGGCCAGCTCAGAAGGGTTCAGGAGCCAGGAACCGAGAGGAACCACATTGAGCCTGGAAGTGTCCAGAAAGTCAACAGCAAATTTAAAAAAGAGGCAGTACTACCAATATTTAGAAAGCTGGATCTTTTTGCCTCTTGTTTTAGGTTTGAATTACACCCCTGGTTTCTCGGATTGTTCCCTCCCCCCTTTTTTTTTTGTTGGACAACAAACAAGTTGTAAGCGAATTTTTATTTTCTTTTGGGCTTTTTTGGGGGGGGTGGCATATGCCCTATGCATGGTTCCCCCTTTGGAGTTCTCCAGTGTGGTCAAGCGTAAGCATTGCCTTGACAAATTAAGGTGACAACTGTGCTCTGAGATAGACTCCTCCCGTCCCTGGAGGCTCCATTTAATCGTGAAAGCAAGCAGCTGCCGTGATTGATCTTGGCTCTTCCTCCTCGTGCTCCCCCTTCGTCCACCCACACCGGGAAAGATATGAAAACGGTGCCACTTTGAGATGCTTTGGGATGGGTGTCAGATAAAAGGAAGCCAGGGAAGCGAGGGAGTGAGCGAAGGAGGGAAAGAGGGCGGGGGGGAACAGGCGTGTTAAACCATTGCCTTTTGAAATATACATGAAAATTCAACCGCTAAAATTACTTTAAAAAAAGAAATTGGCTACCAAGAGAATTGGCCCCTGGCAAGATCCTGAGCTGCACAGAAGGTCATCAGGATGTGGCCACACAAGCCCTGCCTTGTAGAACCAGTTGCAAAGGGAGCCCGGGAGTAGAAGGGCCTGGGTTCGGATCTAGCCTGGGAGCAAGGAAACTGTGGCTGTTGATGGCTCCATCATTAAGGAACTGCAGACTGTTGTCTGTTCAAACCAGAGTTTGCACGCTAACTGGATGGTGCAAATGATCTGGGTCCAAGCAGTTTCAAGGACTGCGCCTATTTTTATGAGCCTGCTCCTGCTTGGGTGTTAAGATCATCAGGGGAGCCCATTCTCTCAGTCCCACTACCTTCACAAGTGCATATGATGGGGCCCTTTCTCTCAGTCCCACTACCTTCACAAGTACATATGATGGGGACTGCACCCAGACTTTGGAACTCCCTCCCACTGGAAGCCTGGCTGCCCCCCTCTTTGCTCTCCTTCCGCAAGCAGGCGGAGACCTTTCTCTCCAGGCCAGCTTTCTTCTTAGGGACTGGCTACCTGAGTGGGGGTTTCACAATGGACGGTTGGGGCTTGTTGCTTGGAATGTGTTTTTCTTGTCCCTTCTCTTCACTGTCTTTTCATGTGATGTTCGTCTGATCCTTTTTTAAGCATTTGCACACTTAATGGCTTTTCGCTTCCAGTAGGGTCCCCTAATGACTAATCCACCTTGGGTCCTTTTTAAGGAGACAGGTAGAGTAAAAAATATTTGAAATCAAAATTCTTAGGGCAGAAATTTGGGTGGCCTGGAATTTGGTGCTGTAGCTTTGTGAATGCGAGCGGTATCCAGGTAGCGCATCAGAGGGACAGGTGGCGCGCTCTATGCTAAGAGATCAAAGCACCTGCTGAGGTTGAAGGGTGTCATTCTTTGTGCATGGTGCCATTGTTCCCAGTGGCTGGGCATCGACACATTGAGAGAGCGAGTCACACACACAACAGATGGCTCTCTGTTTCTTCCCGTTAGTCCTTGCAGTTCACCTTTCTTTTTTAAATTGCATTGGAAGGAGATGAAAAGAGGATGGCCCTTAACCATAAAAACCACGCAAGAGACATGCGTTTCCTCTGTGGCGGACAGTGAGAAAGCACCTATGGCTGTCTTCCTTCCTGCATTAAGAAATCTGCCCCAGTTCCACATATAAAAATTTAAGCATCAGTACAAGCCCAGGCTGGGGGAGGTTCCGTTTCTGGACCCATCATCCCCCAGCGGATTAGGAGATGTAGACCCAAAAAGAAATGTTTCCTGGCATTGGATCCACAGATCAATCTATGCTCAGGACTGGGGGTTCATAGAGGCCATCAATACCGAAGTGCAGTGGCCACTGGTGGTGGCTCCCATTCCAGGGGGCTGGAAATCCACCCCACATTTTTGCCTGCAAGCTACTGGGGCTTCCCACAATGTGGCATCTTAGTCTTACAAACGGACTACTTCTTGTTTCTTACCATGGCTGAGGCAGGGCGACGGACCGAGGCCTGAAAAATTAGGTGCCGAGTTAGGAAGAAAAAAATCAGCAGGCAAGATGGCATGTTTGCAAAAATCACCAACTTTTTTGAATTTGGCAAATTAGCAGCTATTGGTAATCCTTTGAAATTGGAAACCAAAGATTTTGGAATGATTCCAGATGTTGAAATTAGTAAAGGGAGAAGGGTGAACTGCTGGATCGCTCAGTGGATTTAGGGATCTGGCTGTGGAGCAAGAGGATGGGAGTTTGTTTCCCCCCCCGGGCCTCCTTGACGGGGGCTGGATTTAATGATCCACAGGGTCCCTTCCAGCTCTGCTGTTCTAAGATAATGATGATGATGACTATGGTGTTTACTACTTCGGGAGTTTCGTAGTTTTTGCTCCTTTAAGCTTGCTTGCTGATGGATTCCCAACTTCAAAAAGTCACATTTTCCTCTGTTGCTTCTCCAGAAGTATAATATCCAGCTAATTAAAATCAATGGTTTTATCCATAATATCTTGTTTGTCCCAATATACAGCAGGACTCCCATATCTGTGGGGGATTGGTTCCAAGCAACCCCCAATGGATGCTGAAAACCGTGGATAATAGCGAACGCATGGTAAAAGAAATTCCATAAAAAAGTATTCTCACAATGTATTACCACCCCATGAATGCTGAAAACTGTGGATAATAGCGAACGCGTGGTAAAAAAAAATCCAGAAAAAAGTATTCTCACAATGTATTACCATGTATACTTTGTGAAAACACATATTTCTAGTGGTTTTTTTCCCCTTTTAATGTTTTTAACATTTTTAGACCACAGATAAGAGACACCACAAATACTGATCCGGTGGATACAAGGGTCCCACTGTTTATTAAAAATGACATGCAATTAAATAAAATTGGTGGTGGCTGAACTCTGTTTTAATTTGGTTACATTGCTTGAAATCAAACTTTCATTTGCTTCTTGTTCTAATTTTGGATCATATCACGAGACTGGAATGTTTCTACCTCTATATGAAAATCCATGTGCCATTTGAAATGCATTTTTATAGTGGTAAACTTGGAAACAGACGTGTTCGCTGGAACAGCATCCATCTCCCACCCACCCTCTGCCAGAAGCGTCCCGAAATTCCGGCCGCCAGAACATTCCATGCCAACAAACGAGGAACAGGTTTTTTGCAAAGTTAACAGCTCTTAATTGCCCCAATTACCACCAAGTATTTAGCGAACCAACAGGGATAGCTTTCCACAACCTTCTGTCCCTCGGAAAATCCAGTTCCTTTCCCAGCTATTATGAAGACTGCCACCAAGCTCAGAGGGAACATGGAAGCAGGAAGGAGAGAGGAATTTATGCCCTAGTTTTCGCTACTTGGAAAGTCCTGGGGGCCTTAACCCAAAGTGCAGAAAAGCTCCAGCCCTCAGGACCGCTGGATCCAACAGATCCACCCTCCTGCAGCCGTGAACACGGGAGCCGACTTGACAGGTCAAGAGCGCCGGGGACTGCCAGCAGAATCTGAGTCACTGGCCATCTGGGGAAGCTCGGAGCAGCTGCTCCTTCTTCTCTTTTGAAAGGAAGGGAATTTGCGTCAAAACCCACCACCCCCTTCCTCTGAGCAGCCCTGCTTTACAGCGTGGAAATCCCTGTGACTCACTTCTCCCTGGATGCACCAACAACACACAAACACACACAAACACACTTGGACATCACGGTGTGAATCCAAAGCAGGTGGCCCTCTTTCGGAGTCACATGATTTTAGGCGGCATTAGGAGAACTATAGTCTAAACGCCGGAAGGTACTAGTTCCCCTCTATTCAATACTGGTTACAATCATCATCATCATCATCTCAGAACTGCGCAGCTGGATGGGACTCTCTAGAATCATTGAGTCCAGCCCGTCAAGGAGACTGCGTGAGGGAATCGAACTCGCAACCTCTGCAGCCAGAAACCTCAAACACTGAAGGATGCCACAAAATTGGAGCAAGTTCAGAGGAGGGCAGCCAGGAGGAAAGAGGGGAAGGGTTGGGCTCAGGTCCCGACACTGAAGGATGCCACAAAATTGGAGCAAATTCAGAGGAGGGCAGCCGGGAGGAAAGACGGGAGGGTTGGGCTCAGGCCCCGTCCCCTAGGTGGTGTATAATCATTCTGGGGCATTCTGTGCAACCGCCAAGGTTGGGGACCACTGCTCTAGGTGGTATATAATCATTCTGGGACATTCTGTGCAACCATCTTTAGAAAGATATATTTCTAGGATTTTTCTTGGAATGTTTTTAATATTTGCAGGCTGTGGATAAGTGAATTAGCAGATCCTGAGGCCCAGCAAAGAGAATGTGTAATAAAAATGTGCAAAGGCGTATCAATAAGGAAGCAGACAAACAGGGCTCCCGCCTGTCCTTCCAGTCCTTCTAAATAATGTCCCCTGTGTGCACTTACCCCTGTTCCTCCATCATCTCCTGTAACTCCATGCATTTCAGCTCCACCCGCCGTTTCCGCTCGTGGTCCAGGATCTCCCGGTGAGCCTTCTTCACCAAGCCGGTCTCCGCCAGCCGCACCTCATCCCCTGGCTTCTGCCACGCGCCCGAGGCGCCGGGCTGTTGAGAGAAGCCGTTGGACGCCTCCTCCGGGGAAGGCATGCCGGCGGCAGGGCACAACGACATGCGGGCAGAGAGTTCACGAACCCGGCACCTTCAGCAGGACCTACCAAAGATCAGAGATGGAGGCGGGGAGGAGGAGGAGGAGGAGAGAGAGATAGAACCACATGTTTATTTCCTTGTCCTCAATCACAGCGGGAGAAACAATGCTTTTTTTGGCTCAGAATTTGTGCAATTGTTATCATACTCGCCACTAATTTCTCTGTCAAGGTTCCTCTGTGTCCTGCTCTGATAGAAATGAAAATCTCATTCCCCCTCCAAAAAAAACCCCACATACATTTACAACCATTTTGTTATTAGATTTATTGACCAGAATCCTAGTTGTTACCTCTGCCAGTCCAACGGCATGAATTGGAGAGGCTGGCTAAGACATCACTTAGACAATCATGATGGGAAAAGTCGAAGGCAGCAGGAAAAGAGGAAGACCCAAATACGAGATGGACTGACTCCCTCAAGGAAGCCACAGGCTTGAGTCTGCAAGAGCTGAGCAGGGCTGTGGAGGGCAGGGCATTTTGAAGATCACTCATTCATAGAGTCGCTATACGTCAGGGGCAACTTATCAGCACCAACAATAGCAATAAAGTCTACGGTCTGTATTCCTTGTTATGTGCCAGTCATGTGAATTGGCATCTGAAAAGGGCTGCAAGGGACAGTTTGAGAACTAATAAAAATTCAGTGCTAAAATTTATATGGCTCACTTACACCAGTAGAAGTAACCCATAAGATTCTGGCCATCACTTAAGGTTAGCTTTAAGGATATATTTTTGGAAGCAGGGTTAAACAAAAATAATAGCTTCACGAGGAGTTGAAAATTATACCAAATACAATCAAGTATCTAGTTTTAACTGCTAATTGCAAAACACAGGGATGGACAGGAGGAACCGGGGTTATGAGTAACAGCAAGACTCCACTTATTACTCTCATGCCAAGAAGGTATTACTAGCTGTCATCAAGAGATCACCAGATGGATCATCCTTGGTGAGCGGCACATCAAGGTGTCGGGATGACATGGGTGAGGGTTAGGGTGGATGAATTTCTCGTAATTAGTGTGAAAAACCTGGTGTTCCACCTAGTCTACATCTGTGCCTCACAGGTGGCGCAGCTGGCCCTGGTTCAGAAGCTCCGAACCCCATTGCAACAGTCCAGCAACGGCCAAGGTTTGGAGACCATGGGGGGGGGGGAATCAGCACCTCGGAGAGCTCCCGGTGGTCATGAAGCCAGACAAGGATGGCTTTTGCCTAACCTTGTTTGCTCATTCAAAACCCTGGTTTATTCACACATATATGTGTGTGTGTGTGTGTGTGTGTGTGTGTGTGTGAGAGAGAGAGAGAGAGAGAGAGAGAGAGAGAGAGAGCAAGGAGGCCAGAGCAAAGTCTATTCCAGCAGAGGAGGAGAAGAGAGAAGGAAGTTTCCAACTGACCGCTCTCCCAGAGGCAACTTCTACTGGTTCCTTCAAGGGGGCCAGAGAAGGAAGACTTGTTGAAGGTCTTGGAGAGATGGGAGAACGAAAGGAGCAGTTGGAAAAGGTGGGGAAGGCGTGGAAGTAGAGAGACCCATCAGGGACACAAAGGGAAGGGAGAGACAGATAGAACAGTGGTAGAAGCTGGGGAAGACGAGGAGATAAATAAGGAAGAAAATCTACCACCAGGGTGGGAATGGATTTGGCTAGAGACTCCCTAGACCCATAGGTGGGAGAGACTACCGAAGGGAGGAGGCTGGTCACAGACAGAGAGTGGGGATTCCCCCAAAACCCTCGTATTGGGGAGAGGCAGAAGCGAGAGAGTGGAGACGGAAACCGAGAGATGAGAAGGATACCCTCGTATTGGGGAGAGGCAGAAGCGAGGGAGTGGAGACAGAAACCAAGAGATGAGAAGGATAGAGTAGAGAAAGAAAGGAAAGAAAGAACAGAACGGCGAGTGCGGGAGGTGAGGAAGAGGCCCTTGGGGTAGAGCAAGAAAGGAAAGAAAGAACAGAACAGCGAGTGTGGGAGGTGAGGAAGAGGCCCTTGGAAACCTGGGAATTCATGGAAATGAATGGAAATCCCTTTTCAGCCCCATTGGAAGGAAAGAACTGTGTTCAAGTTGACCTAAACAGTTTTATTGATGTTCCTAAAATAAATGTCGAAACGCTACCACTGAGTTCTGAGTCTGTGTTCGGAGATGCGGGAACCCCAGAGGAGAAGGGACAGCCAGAACTTCAACCCTCACCGTGTGTCTGGTTAGCCTTGTTCCCCATGACAGTCATTTGGCTGATCTCACCAGGGAGGAGCTGGAAGACAAGAGGTCCCCCCTGCTTGTGGGCAAGCTCTACAAGTGAGCAAAGACCCACATTTTCCAGGGCTCTTGCTCAAGCCAAATTCTTCCAGGGTTCCTTCTCATAGGTAGAAAGGAGGCCCTTTCCAAACCCTTCTTCCACCACTGTGTGGACAAATGCTACAATGACAGGAGGTAGAACTGAGTACTTGATTTGTATGAGATGCACCTTCATACAATTGCAGTAGGACCCCCGTATCCATGGGGAATTGGTTCCAAGTCCCCCCCTCCACACACAGATGCTGAGAAATGCAGATGATAGAGAATGCTATTTTAATAGTGAATGCCATACATCGCGTGGTCTCTGGCTCCCTCTACTGGCCAGTTCTGCTGACCATCTTTTGAAATACCGTATATATATATATATATACCATATTTCATATTTCATATATATGTAGGTAAGATTTTTAAAAATCTTACATATAGGATTTTAATATTTTTTATATTTTCAGACCATGGGTAAGTGAATCCGCGGATACTGATCCCGCCGATAAAGGGGTCTTACTGTATGCCGAGTTATACACATGAATAACCTATGTAGTAGTATACAAAATGAAATTAGTTAAGTATACCAGATAGTTTTTGCCCAAGAACAAGCAACATCAAGGTCATTCGGGACAGATGGCATCAAGTCCCCCATAGCCCATGTTGAGGGCTGCAGAAGGCACTGATGTGGGTGTGATCTTGCCTGTTTGCCCTCCCAGAGAACTGTGTTGGGGGTGAGAACCCCATTTCCCCCCAGGTTCCCGTAGTCTCTGCATAGCCTCAAAGTTCAGGGGAAATCCGGAGCGCCAATGGCCAAATGGGGAATTAGGCCACCCCAAGGACACCTTCTTGGAATGAGCCCAGAAGGAGACCTCGGCCTCCTTGATCCTTGGCGGGCTCTGCCTCTGGGTGCCAAGCGGGTCTCCAGCCCAGCTGGCGAGCTTCACGTCATGGTGCTGGGGACGGGGTGGGAGTTAGGAAGCTATGATCCTCCAGGTGGGACTCCTCAGGGCCAGAGGGTGGTCTTGCGATCACGATGGATGGTAGGGTAGCTCAAATGGTCTTCTGGAAGACCAAGTCAGAGGCATCCGGGACTTCCAAGCCATCTCCCCGTTCTCCGTCTGGTGGCCCCGTCCAAAGCCCCTCCAAGATCTGGGTTGCCTCCCTGGACTTGAATTGAAACTCGTGTACTCTCAGAGTGATAGGCCAAGGTTTGGATCTCAGAACCAGAAATGGACTCCGGATTAAGGACCCAGAAGGATTGGTTTCTCTCTCCACCCTCGCTTTGTACCGCTGGAGTGACAGCGGGTCACCCTCGGACTACAACTCCCATCAGTGCTTGTCTGCGCGGTCCCTGGTAAGGAGAAGCCAGCCCACCCACGTCGGGAAGGCCTCAGTTACTCAACACAACTCATCCGCCAGAAGCACACCTCCTGACATCAGCTGCTGATGCCCCCCCCTAAAAAAAAATCCTATTCAGTTCTGGCTCACCAGGGACAGGACAGGAGTCACCTGCGCCTACACAACCTTCACATGCAAAACCCAGGTGCCTAAGAACGAAGGTCTGGAAGATATACAGAACGCAGAACCGGTGGGAGGGGGTCCTGCCCCCAGGAGCCTCATGGTGCCGTGGTTGGACCGCAGTACTGCAGCTGAGACTCTGCTCGCAACCTGGGTTCGATCCTGACGGTCTCAGGTCACTGGTTCAGGGTAGACTCAGACTTCCCTCCTTCCAAGGTTTGCAAACGGAGTGCCCAGCTCATTGGGTGGGGTGCGGATCATGTGTAACCCAGATGATTCAATTGCAAACTGCCCAGAGAGTCCTTGAAGTGCTATGGGGTGGTATATAAGCATCGGACTTATGCTCTGCTTTTTCAGAGGGCGGATCTCAGCGGCCGCTGGTAGCCATAACCAAGGGAGACCAAATTAGGGTCAAGAGACAAATCAGCAGTCCAGCAAACAGCGCCCTACTAGGTTAGAGACGGGTGATCTGAAGGCAAAGCTGAAGAACACGCAAACACACACAAATAAGGCTCTGATGGTTTGGGCAATTATTGTATTAAATGGAAAGCTGGCAGGTGAACAAAGGCCCTGGGCCACTTGCTGGAGGCTTTTGGCAGCCACCGAGGCCCTTCCTGTAGGTCCTTCTTCCGTCTTTGGTCTCCTGGACACCCTCGATCGTGGTCTGAGATCCTCTGCTGGGTCTCCCTGTTGAACAGCGGCCTGCTTGCTCACCCGGTATGAGATCGGGGTCTGCCAAAGGGTGCTTGTGAGGGCGAGAGGCATTTTTTGGTCGCCCACCTTGATCCGAATGTGGAAGCCAAGAGGAACAAGGCCAATCTGTATTGTTTTTTTTTTAAATTCTGGTTGGCCTCCCAAGCCACCTGTGGTTCCAGTTTCTAGGGGAGAGGCAGGATACTGATCAAACCGAAGATAAAAATCATCATCATGTTAAGAACTGCAGAGCTGGAAGGGACCCTCTGGATCATCAAGTTCAGGCCCTTTCAAGGAGGCTCCGGGAGGAATCGAACGAACTCCCAACTTTCTGCAGCCAGAGACTTAAACCACTGAAGATGTAGAGCCAGGATCTAGTTATCTGTCCGCCCATGACCTGCTTGGCTTACACCAGGCCAAATCTTTGAGGGCAGCCAGCTGGTGTCCCCTGATGCAACACCCCCGTCAGTCCACACCCCATAGAAAGGTCCCTCGGATGCTAATTAAATGCCCCCCAGAGCCCTGGAAA